TTCACACCACTGTATATTGCCATTAAGTAATCAAAACTAATGATAATTGCAAGTTACTTTAATGCATTTATGCCACAAAATGAAAAATGTATGCTGATATAGTCAAAATCCCATTCTGAAACCTAAAGCATTTCTGATCTTTTAAAGGGCAAAGTATGATAATAAACACAATGATGCGCTTGCAATTTGTTCTTTGGCCTTAATTTTATTTTCTTGACTGTTTGCTTGAATAAAAACGTAATGTTTATCTCATTGAGAATCATTTGAATACGGAAGGATTTAACAGACTAAACTAAATAAAAATGAATTATTAACAAAGTTATGGAAAATGGAATGCTGAAATAATAACATGTACAATGAAAGTACAATGAAAAGCAAGCATAAATAAGGTGTGAAATGGGATGCGAAAAACACCTGAAATGCCCCTTAAAATGAAAAACAAATCAATATATCATGAATTAAATCAATAAATAAAAGCAAAAGGGAAAGTATGAATGAATAAATAGGACATGACATGTATTTATGCTTACATTTCAATGTGCTTCATTGCAACATTCCCTTACATATTTAATCATTTGTTAAATGAGTGGGTTCACTAGCATAATTTATTGCAGTATCAAAATTAGTATGGAGTCTGGAGAACAGAGGAATTTTACTGGTGGCAAAACTTGAATTACTAATCTACTTTCATGTACTGTTGAGAGTGCAGAGCAAGAGACCAGCCTCTTGATCTATTGGTTGCTTTGAAATAACAGAGCGCATCCCTGTGGTAAATATATGAGCAGAAGTACAGTACCTGAGTTCAGGCCTGCTCTTATCACGGCAAGTGTATCTCTGTATCCACATAACAGGCATTGCTGTATTGATTCAAGCCACGGCAGCATTAGGGAGCGATATTTCTTACGCTGGCTGCAGAGATAAAGCGGAGTCTCTGAGCATTCGTCCTTGGACACCATCACCGGTTTGGTCTCTGGTCCTGCTGCATCTGGACTTGCAGCTTGTTAGTGCTCTGCCCAGCCGAACGGTTCAACACCGCTAACAAGCAGCCTCTAACGGCAAGGTCATTCACTCAGTCAAAGTGCCAAGGATGGGGGCTGACCTCTTCACGACGCCTGACGCCAGGCCGATAAAGGTCCTGGAGATAATTACAACCACCGCTGGACCAGGCCAGTTCAGAAAACGAATAAACACTTCCTGCCATGGAGAGAACGACGCAATGCTACAGCTGGAGAGCGAAAACGGCAATAAGCGCAAGTCGAGCTGGAAATAACTGCAGTATAACCCTCCCTTAGTGTATGATACAAAAATCAATGTAAGGGTAGAGATGCACAATCAATTAAAACAATCAAGACTATTGAGTGAATTAATAAACTGCTTAAATGCAGAGGTGTTTAAATTAGCCAGTATGCAAAAATGACAACCAAGCAGTCTGATCCACACATACATCATGCACAAATGATACAATCATACAAAATTATTGGAATTATTTTGGATTTACTATATGATGTGCCAAATACAAAGTAGCATGTAATAGGGTTGGACGTAGGGCTGTCGCGATTCGTCGATTTTATTAGACTATTCTATTTTTAAAAATCCTCGACTTCATTTTGCTCGCGTCGTGTGTAAAAAATAATCATCAGGCCGTTGGCGCCCTCTGCAGTCATTTGTTGTAATGCGTAATGTACATTAGCTCTATTGTTTATAATACATTATGTATTTTAACAGTTTTGTTCAATAAAACCATATGATTTCTGGCTTTTGATATTTTCTGGATTCCATTTTAATGGTTACATTAAATTTTAATAATCAAAACCATCTCCAATTAATTGATTTTATTAAAAAAAAAAAAAAAAATCTTTTTTTTCAGAAATACTGCACATTTACATTTATTTGTTCATCTTTCAATCATCATTGCATTGCAGTAGCCTGTGTTTTTCCTCCAGATATGATTGGGATAAAGTTACAACATTTTGTGTAAGTAGGATTTTATTAAAAAAAAAAAAAAATCTTTTTTTTCAGAAATACTGCACATTTACATTTTTCTCCTAAATAAATAAATTCTGCTAAATAACATTTCATAACATAACATTTATTTGGTAAATACTCCTTTAAAATGTGTTTTTTGATTATAATTTTATTATTAGTAGACTAGAACTCGTGGTTATGTTGTCATTCTTACACTATAATACTGAACTTTGATTTCAGTGATTTGGACTATGAGATGGATGCACTTTACTTTTGCTTTAAAAAAAAGGATTTCATAGAAATTTGGATTTCATTTGGTTTAATAAAATATAGTTTAATAAAATATTCTTAAGTAAAATGGTTGATTTTTTTTGTGTGGGAAATTAATCGTTTAGATTAATCGATAAATTAGTCTATAGATTAATCGAAATAAAAGTAGTCATTAGTGGCAGCCCTAGTTGGACGATTAATCGAAACCGAAATTCAGAATCTCTAACCGACGTAATTTTCCCATGTCGGTTATTTCGTTTTTTTTAATCCTATTAATACTTTCCCCTAAAAAACATACTACCGCGTCGGCGCTATACGTACGTGTATGACCGTTGCGCTCACGTGTTTTGCTGCGTCTCGCACATGAGTGGCACGCTAAAATAATTTAAACTTTTACATACAGCGCCGCTCAAAGTCAGTTCCAAAACAGAGGATCAATCAGTCAGAAGACCCTGGAGGCGGGGCAAGTGTTGAGAGCTTTTGTTTACAGTAGCAGGTTGACAACACTGAGTAGGCATTCTGCGCTGCGTTTTTTTTTTTTAAACAATTCCTGAGCGCTGCGTCTCGCGGTTTTAGACACAAAGACATGTTCTGTGAGAACGGACTGTAAGAACCCTAGAGTAAACGCACATATAGAGAGGACAAGACCAATGAGAGGGTGCCATGCTCTTTCTCTTAATCAGCAGTGTTGTATTTGCATACATTCATTATTTAAAACATTTGTTTACAGGAGATGCAAGTTGTTATTTTCTACTTTTCACATTGTATTTTTAAAATTATATTAATTTGCAAGAGATACAAGTTATTTTCTATTTTTCGCATGACACTATTTAAAATGTATTTTGTTTGCCAGAGATGCTGGTTATTTTCTACTTTTGACATTGCAATATTTATTTATTTTGTTTGCAAAAAAATGCAAGTTATTCTCTTTTTTTTTTTTTTGGAAACTTGCTTTTTACAATAAAACTGAAATGTGACTTTTTTCATAAGATGTAAAAATAAATAAATGTAAAAAAAATAATCGTTAAACAATCATAATCGAGGTAAAGTGTTTAATTAATCGAGGTTTTGATTTTAGGTCAAATCGCCCAGCCCTAGCATGTAATGTAACAAACCAACATGCAATGCAACAAAAGTACAATGTTCCCATTATCTTCAACATGAATGTAAATTGTGTCGACCAGGGATTTTCAAACATTTTCATACCAAGGACATCTAAAATAGGACTCCCTTTGCAAGAGACCCCCCTCTTAAAAATCCAAAATTACTACAAAATTAAATTATAGGGTTTTATGTTCTTACACAGCCATTACTAAAACAACCACCGGAAAAGATTTATTGAGTATTAAAGCTGACAGAACATCTCTTCTCTATGCATTTATTGTTCAAATCTAAGACTGTCAACAGAATAAAATAACTATGATTAATCTCATGATTGCGGACCACTCTTTAAATAGCAAAATAAAACCAATTTTATTAAAATACAAAAGGAACTACTTTAATACAACAATAATAATAATGTGCAGTTAAAATCTAGGACTGTTGACAATAATTGTGATTGTGATCATTGTGATTAGGGCTGCACGATTAATCGCATGCGATATTTAACGCGCATCTTGTCAGTAAAGACGGTTCTGTAATCAGCGGTAAATCTCCATCACCTGCATGCTTTCACATTGAGCAGCATTAACTACACAGAGTGAATGTGAAACCCCGCAGGTGATGGAGATTTACCGCTGATTACAGAACCGGCTTTCTGACAAGATGCGCTTTAAATATCGCATGCGATTAATCGTGCAGCCCTAATTGTGATTAATCTCATGATTGCTGAACACTTTTGAAAAAGCAAAATAAAACAATTTTTATTACAATACAACAAAAACAATTAAAACATTTAAAAGAAACATTTTTTTTTAAATTACTAAATTTATATTTGCAATAATTGTTTAATAACTTTGTTATTATTATTATTATTATTATTATTGTTGTAAAACATTTATTTTGATATTTAATACATTTTACAATAATAAATAACTGTATTTTAATAAAATACTGTTACTCTTCCTACTACTACTACAACTAATAATAATAACTATTATTATTATTATTATTATTATTATTATTATCATTATTAATTGTTATTTGATATTATTTATTATTTAAATATATTTATCATAAATAAATATATTATACCACAGAACCCCAAATAACCCTTGGAGCTCCCTGTTTTAAAAACAAATGGTTTAGACAGCTTCATTTATTGCAATGGGAGTGTTGGTGGGAATCAAACAGCTGCGTTAAAACTGTAAATTTGCAGTGACAGCTTTAGTGATTACAATGGGAGCGTTCTAGCATTGCTGCGCTGCTTGCTTTCTGTGTAATTTCTTCCAAATATGAAGAGTTTTGTTTTTCATGCTGCTAAGAGGATCAGAGTTGACCGTTTAGTCACCGTCTTGATTTAATGATGTATAAAACAGCAATTAATTAATTCAGGAACACCGCTCACAGCTTGTTTCGGATGTGTGGCGACATAAAATATAGTCGCCCCACACAAAGCAGGCATTTTAATGCAAATTCTATTCATCAAAACGAATAGTGATTACACTATAAAAAAAAACACAAGCGAAAAGCAATTCCCCTTTTCACAGTTCTCTCGCCCTGAAATCCAAATAATCCCTCTCTCGCTGCTTCCCAGAGCGCCGAGCGCAATCATCAATGATTAACCGTCCAGAGAATGGAGCTCTGGAGATTGCCGTTCACCTCACCTTCATCGAAGTCGACATCATCTTCGGTGTGCTGGGGGAAGGGGAAGCAGTTCGTGATCTCCAGACGGTCTTCAACCACCAGGCCAAGCAGAACACCCTGAACCACCTCACTGCCCTGGCCCTCCTCCTGGTAGTGCTTAATGATCTTCAACACCACCTGCAGACGCACAAACACACAGCCTGATCAGAAACCTGCGAGGAAACATTTCTTGCGAAACCAAATTTGGGCCTGCCGAAGCAAATTGAATAATATATGATGCAATTTCTCCCCCTAAAGGCATTTAAAGTGTCTTTGTGTCGCCTTTGCAGGAGCGACAGCGGGCAGAAATAACATTTATATGAGTTTATTGCACTAAGATTTGCGAGGTATAACCAGGTACGCAATTGCATGCGCACAAGCACTTGAGTGAACTGGTTAGCATTTAACTAGGCATGTCAAAAAGAACACATTTTCAAGATCTTAATGCAAGACACCACAGGTGAATAGGGTAAAAAGTTTAACGGAGACAATTGTTTTGTATGAATATTACGTTTTCTAAAATGTTTAAATATGTAAGAGGCATCATCTTATTAAATATGCATTCATTTGCAGCAATCTAAGATAAAGCCAGGTTCAAAATTATTGTTGACACTGGAGCTAAAGGTTTTTACAGAGGAGATTTTGGATCTCTTTTTGTCACTCCATAAATCAAAAAACACTGTCAACATCCAGAGAGAAAACATACATTTTCACCATGTTTTTAGGAATAAAATGTCATCTAAATCAGGCAAATGATATATGAACAAACTTCTGTAAAAACTTTCAGAATATAGATAGGAATAAAGCTATAAAGTTTGGTGTATGTAAGTGCTGCTGAAGTAGACAATTCTGTGCAGATTTCGCTCCTGATTCGGATGAGACGACGTTTTTAGAGAAAACAAATTATGGATAGAGTATTTTAGGAGCAGAATCTTTAATCATTAAAAATGTCTTGATGGATTTGTTTACTACAAACATGTAGCTTTTCATTTCGCAAGACAATTACTGATTTACTGGACTGGTGTGAATTATTGTGATGCTTTTATCAGCTGTTTGGACTCTCATTCTGACGGCACCCATTCACTGCAGATGATCCACTGGTGAGCAATTTCCCCAAATCTGTTCCCATGAAGAAACAAACTCCTCTACATCTGGGATGGCCTGAGGGGGGAGTACATTTTCAGCAAATTTCTATTCCTTTCAAATGCTCTGAATTTCCTGACTCCAATCAGGCATGTTTCTGCATTAAAAATACATCTGAGAACAATAATATTCAGACGTTCTGCACATTTGTATGCATAATTAAGATGCAGTAAACACTAATCCATCTCAGCTGACCACTGGTTATCGGATGACCTAAGACAGATGTTAATTCCAGGCTTATGTTTGCCCATGTGCTTTAGACGGCTCTCAGGAGAATATTAATATGTGCAAGCTTCGATTTAAAGATTGGCAGAGAGGGAAAATATCAATCTGTCTGCGCTCAAAACAGTCATGAATGTGAAGAGCGGGGCATGTCGCTTTAAAATGAAAGTTGGAGAGCTAAATGGAAGATTGCTCCTCCATCTTAACATGGTACTTTGCGACCACTCAGAGCAGAAAAAGATGGAGAAAGACCTGGGGTTAATGGAAGAACAACTACGCTCACTGTCTAATTACGCCGTCTGCACAGCCTCTCTGAATACCAATGGGGGTTTTTCTTCTGCTAAGTCCTACAGTAGCAAGAACTCTTCTTCAACCCCATTGAGAGAGCCAGTTCACTCTGCCCAAGGCCTGATGGGATACGTTCGTTTTTCTCAGAAGGGACACAGCATTTCATATCGCCAATATCTGATGGGGAACTAAAGTGCATCAGTACATTTGTAAATTTCATACGGCGTGTCGAGGCGGGAGATGCATTTAGAGCATACGGATGCTGCGCAGACGAGACGGAAGTCATACATTTACTGTTACTTCAGCAGATAAGAGTGGGCCAATCCAATTCCAACCTCAAATCACCGCTATAGGATGCCATTTTTTAAAACATAGGCTATATACTGGGACACATGATTTTATGACATTAGGCCATTTCGCACCGCTTTAGTTCCAGAACTAAATGTACAGTACTAAAGTACTGGGACAATTTTGCGCAAACTATTTCCCTGTACTATTTAAAGGGTTGCATTCGCACCGAGAGTGTGTACTAAGAAGTGACGTAAGCCGGTCGACAGAGACATCATTTGTGCGCGGTGTTCAACAACAGAAACAAAGAACAACATTAACAACAGGAGGATGGAGGACGCTGTGATGTTTGGCCAATCAATGTCTACTTACGTCACGATTAGTACCAGTTGTGCTGGTTAGACCCTGCTCCGGAGTAGGAGCTAATTTGGTTCTCGAAAAAGGCAGTCCGGTACTAAAATCGCACCCAGTTCCGGCAGTGCGAAAATGCCAAAAAGTGGGTAGGTCCACAATTAGTTCTGGTACTATGAAAAGGTTCCCGCAGTGCGAAAGGCCCTATTAGGTTCCATTAATGGTCCTCGAATGTTTCAAAGTGGACAGTAGACATGCTAAAATATCAACTGACTGTAATCAAGCACTCGCATTTGAAAGTGAAAATGACGTTGTGCAAATGTGAAGAATTTTGCAGATTCTTTTAAAAACGCTTCTGTTCTGTTCATTTTTCTAATGCAAAAACTAACCTGTATGTATCATTTAACATGAAATTTTAGAAAGGTTTAGTCTGTAAATATTAACTGGCTCATGCAGACATCACTTCGTAAGCTTGAGGAAGTGTCCAGTCAAGTAGCTCATTAAATATTTATGAGCCAAAACCTTTACAACAGTAGGATTTGTTCATTCTAAAGCTGATTAGCACACGCTTAACATCATTGTCAGTCAGCAAGTTATGCATGCTGCGTAAATGTCGTGTAATGTCATTAATATTCATGAGCAAAGCATTTACCTTAGTATAGATGACAAAAAAATGAGAACCTCATAATATATAATCATTTAAAATAACTTTAATAAATACTATAGCTATAGAATGTTTAATATAAGAGGCCTAGACAATTAAAATATTAAAATGTTATTAAAATTTGATTCATTTTCAAATATCTGAATGTTATCTGATCTGTTAAGCATTACATATTGCTTAAAATTCTAATCAGAGCAAAAAGTTGTGTAAAAATATGTAAAAAATTACATTCAAATATTTTTTTTATAATTTAAAAATATATTATATCATTAAATTACAAAATTATATTTATAAAAGTTTGATATTTTCAAAAAGTGACAGTAAAGTCATTTATGTCTCAAAAGATTTCCATTTAAAATAAATGCTGTTCGTTTGAACTTTTGAGCAGAATCCTGAAAAAAATTGTATGAGTTTTAACAAAAATATGAAGCATCATGACTGCTTTCAACACTGATAATAATAAATGTTTCTTTAGCAGCAAATCAGCATATTAGAATTATTTCTGAAGGATCATGTAACACTGAAGACTGGAGTAATGATGCTGAAAATGTAGCTTTGCATCACAGGAGAAAACTACATTTTAATATTTACTCAAATACAGAACAAATAATAAATAAATGCAGACTTCTTAAAAACATTAAAGGAGACATATTATGCCCCTTTTTACAATATGTAATAGAAGTCTCTGGTGTCCACAGATCATTTATTATATCATTTTGAAAATGCCTATTTTGAGTGGAAGCAGAGAAGCGCTGTTTTTCAGGCCTGTTTCTTTAAATGCAAATGAGCTGCTGCTCCCCGCCCCCTTTTCCAGAATAGAGCCATTACAGCTCGGACCTGCTAAAAACATCTGTTTTGGTTCTGATTATCATGTTTATGATTTTAAACTGATATACGTTTTTCTGAGCGCACATATCCGAAGCACACGCACAGAAAGCGGCTGTCACAGCATGTGAGTACTAAACTAAGTTCTCATTCACAAACAGGTTTACGTTAAAAACACACGAGTTACAAAAAACAGTCGGTTATGTCTGTGAAGGTAAACAGCTGGGAAATAAATCGT